TACCCCCCCCCCCTTCTCAGGCTCGCAAGCTGCTGGCCTCCATGAAGCACGAGAAGCGAGTCCTGTGGGCCAATGGAGTCATCTACAAGTTTTTCCGCGGCTGGAAGGTGCGCCAGGAGTACACGCCAAAGTTCCGGAGGATCGCCGGGCCCAAGATCTCTCGCTTCTTCATTACTGCTTTGGTGAGTGGGTGGGGGATTGTGGGTGATGGGTGCTTTTGTAGGTGGTGTGTGGGTTGTTTGGGGGTGGGTGGGTGAGTTGGTTTGGGGGTGTTGTAGGTGAGTGATGGGTGTCAAAAGTGCCGAAGGTTCACCGGACCCAAGATCTCTCGCTTCTTTATTACTACTTTGGTGAGTGGGTGGGGGATGTGGGTATGTATTCTGGGACCGTAGGATTGGTGGTGGGTATTTTGGGTGGCGCGGTCCTTCAGGAGTACACGCCAAAATTCCGGGGATCGCCGGGCCCAAGATCTCTCGCTTCTTCATTACTGCTTTGGTGAGTGGGTGGGGGATTGTGGGATAGTGGGAAGTGGGTCATTTGGGGTGTGAGAAAATCGTGGAAGGAAAAGAAATCAAATGAGGTAGTGCTTAATGAAACCCGTGTGGGACGCTCACTGTTACAATCAATCGGGAAACGACAAATGCAGTTTTTGGGACCTGAATAGACATAAAGGTCTTGCATATCTAGCTCTCACTTGCAAAATTGTAGGCAAACGAAGCAGGGGTAGGCCCAGAGCAACCTACTTAGGGAACCTAAACAAATGGGTGACGAGGAAAGATCAGGGAAACATAGCTTTTTTTTAAAGAGCATCCGAGCAAAGGAATGAACGGAGAAGCATGATTGCCGATGTCTGTCGCAGATCTGGCGCTTGATGATGATGATGAGGGGTGGTGGGTTGGTGGTGGTTTTTTAAAGGTGGAACGTCGATTAGGTAGGAGAACACGCCAAAGTTCAGGAGGATCGCGGGGCCCAAGATCTGTCACTTTTTCATTACTGCTTTGATGAGTGAGTGGGGGATTGTGGGATGGTGGGTGATGGATGCTTTTGTAGATGGTGTTTGGGTCGTTTTGGGGTTGGTGGGTGGGTAGGTAGGTTTGGGAGTATGGTGTTGGCGGTTGTAGTGGGTAAGTGGTGGGTGTCCTAATTTCAGAAGGATCGCCCGGGCCCAAGATCTCTCACTTCTTCATCACTACTTTGGTGAGTGGGTGGAGGATTGAGGGATAGTTGGTTAGACGTGGGATGGACGGAGGGGCGTGGTTATTGGGTGGTTTTGGGGGTGGTGGGTGGGTGGGTGGTACCTTCTGAAGCTGCGACACTATCTTCCATCCCTGTCTACTCTTTCTCTCTCTCTCTCTCTCTCTCTCTC